TTTTTGTCACCATCCGTAAAGAAATCGCATGTTACACGCCAATGGATGCCGTCGTCGTGTTGACAAGGCGATAGTCACTATTTCGAACTACACGCGAGAGAAACTATCACACCGCAATACACGCGCGGCGGTACCGAACTAGGGGGACAGGTCGGATGGGGGAGTCGATTTTCCGGTGGCGGGTGAGTGTGTGACGCTAGCGAGTGCTGAGAAATATACACAGTATGAGTGGTGTTTGAAGAAAATATAACTGTACAAATAGTTTATAAATCTATGAGTTATGTAATTTATCAGGGTTAAAAAAAAAAAAAGAGGAGTATTGCCTTGCTCGCCAGAGTGTTTTTAAACTACTTCAGCGCCGCTGTGCACGCGTGATAGCTTGAAGATGGACGTTTTGTGTATTGGGTAACCGGGCGATCATTTAAGTGGCTACACTAATTATCTCGGAAATAATTAACTTTATTACGAAATTTCTCTACGGTATGCAATCCATATGACGCTAAACAAGATTTTTTTTCCGTGAAAAAATTACGTGTAAGACATATAAGAAAATCCACATTTTGGGCCGATGGGTCCTATTTTTTTGTTTAGTTTCGCCTAAAGTATAAACAATTTTGTAACATCGATTTTTTTTCGTTTTGCACACGTGAACCATACAATTGATAAAAGACGGTCTTGGATAATGGGGACGGGCGCAGCCACTGTTATAGATAAATTAATGTACACCCGTAAGCAACGATAAATAAACCGTTACTTACAAAAAACCCATTATGAGCGCAGTTCAGTTGATAATGATAATTTGTCAACATTTCACAGTAAAATATTTAATTAGTGTTAATATATTTTCATTAATAACATTTGTGTAATATTGTACCGATTTTCCGAATATTCCTACGTTTTTCCCGGTTTTAAAATTTGATGAGAAAACTACTGGGAAATCGAAAAACTACCTCTCTAAAGTACCTCCTCAGTAAAATTTCATTTTAGAAAAATTGCTATCGTTAAAAGTTGGAAGAAAATTTTGCCGGTAAAAAAGTTGTGCACAGAAAAAAAAGAAGACCGTAATATAATTTAACTAACACCTACATTTTTTTTTATTTTCCCGTTTTTTTTTTTTTTTTTTGATATTTCACATTCGATTAGAAAACTCTAGATAAAATTGAAAAATGACCTCTTCCCACCGATTTCCTTTCAGAAAAGTGCTACACGTAGAAATTCGAGCAAGTTTTCTGATATAAAAGTTGTTAACAGAAAAAAAAAAAAAAAAGGAAATTTTTGCAAAACCATAAGCATCATCGTTCCACTCAGAATCTAAAAACGTTTAGCACGCCAATGACAGTAACTGTTTTATTACGGAATACTATCACATGAAATAGAATATATAGGTATAGAATATGTTCATGCGATAAACGGTTTTAGGTGCATAAACTATTTGATTCGAGCGTTTTAATTTCGAAAACGGTTTGATGTTTTTAACCGGTTTTAAGTGTTTACATGATAAGAATTAGTTTTGTTTTCAAACCGTTTTAACGCCATCATAAATACGTACTAAATGGTAGCAATTATGTCTCACGTGCGGACACATATTATTATTATACCTATCGCTTTCCGCCGTCTCATTACACTCGTTGCGCACTACACTGTGATACCGCGCTCCGCGTGTTTTGTACCCGCACTGTACGATAACAAGAAACGAACCGTTCGTAGTAAACAGTTGACCGTCTTATTAACGTAATTTTCGTTCGAATCGATAACAGTTATCGAATTAAAGTACTGATCAAAGTCGTACAAAATACCGATTAACGTGTACGTTATCATTATCGACACCATTGCAACGCCTTGAAAACCGACGGTTAATTGTTTGCACTCGTATAGATCATAATACACAAGAATAAACGCTTTACGGGTAGATACGTCACTGACGGCAGGAAGCCGGCGGTTCAAAGGTGTTTATGTAAAAAAAAAAAAAAATTGAAAGCAACGATAAAAAAAAAAAGAATATAGCCGATCGCGCCGGCGGGCACTTACGAGTCGTTATTCGATTTGTGTCTGCGAACAACGCGATAAACCGTCGATAGTGACGAAAAAGCGATTCTGTATCCGAAGTAAAAACGAACTTAATGAACGCTGTAGTAAAACGTTTAGTGAATAAAATCGGGATTTTCGACATTTTCATCGCTTACACTCGTAAAAATGTTAAAAGGCACAATGCCGGTTTTCACTGCGAGCAAAAAGGTATTGAGTACCAGGAGCGCATGTGGAACGACGCAAACGGGGCGCCGCCGCCGTACGATTCGGTGTATCCGCGGACCACGGTGTATGGCGGCGCGCGGGTGTGTCTGTGTTGTCCGTTACGACAGTCTGAGACGATTCGAGACCGAAAACAACGAAACCCGGTGTGCACTTATTTCCCTTATTTCCTAATTTTCGTCTCCGATAATTCAGGAAAACCGGTTGGAAATTCGCGATTCCGCGAAAGAAAAGAGCCGATACCGACGACGGGCGCGCCACCGCTGCAGGTGAAAAGTCAGCAGGACGGGCACTTACGAGTCGTTATTCGATTTGTATCTGCGACCAACGCGATAAACCGTCGATAGTGACGAAAAAACGATTCTGTATCCGAAGTCAAAACGAACTTAATGAACGCTGTAGTAAAACGTTTAGTGAATAAAATCGGGATTTTCGACATTTTCATCGCTTACACTCGTAAAAATG